TTTCCAGGACTGTAGAGTCAACAACATAGAAAACTAAGCCATTCATCTGGAATCCTGAATAACTAATATGCCTGGCAATACTAGAACACAAAGAAGTAAATGTCAGCTGTTGTCTGGTTTACCAAAGTGTAAAAAAAATGAGAGACAACTTTAAAGTAAAAATTCCACAGCAAATACAAGCCTTTTAACCCTAATTTTCGAAGATTCTATAATATCACCTTATCAATGACTACCTGAATGTGATACAATAGTAATTTATAAATTCATTCATAGTAATTCATAAATAAGAAACTGAGTGTTTTGGGAAGAGAAATGCTTCCTAAATTAATGTATAGCTTCTAACTGATCTTAAAAATAAACGAGTTTAAAAAATAGAGCTTATAGAAAACACTGCACCCTTCCAGAAATATGAAAAACAATTACACCAACTAGTCAGGTGAACTAATGTAAAGGTCTCCCATTTTTTTAATTATTAAGCAAGCAAGCCAACATAAGAACAAGTTTGTTATTCCTTAAGGTTACATGCTCCCTTTGAGTTTTTTCCTCTTGTGATCAAATCTTGCATTTATAACATCATAATTAATTGCTATGTACATGAGTGTTTCTAAAAAAGGAGTTATAAACTTATTGTGGGATCCTAAATATCTCTCCTTTTCTAGTGCATCTCATCTTTATATCTTTTAGGCTGTAAACTCTTAAGAAACACCACCAACTTCATATTTGTTCATTTTACCACAGCAATCACAAGAGCTTATTATTAATCTGTTTTGCATGGATAATGTGAGAAGGATGAACCATAAAGAGAAGAACTTTTAAAGGTGATTAGTAGGTCTGTCAATTAATTGCAGTTAATGTGCCCAATTAACGCATTAACTGGTGTTCATGTTAATTTTTTTAATGCATTAATCACACAAGTTATTTTGGAGCCTGTGCCTGAGCTGACTCTGGGCCACCCAGTGGGGCAGCAGTGGCAGTGCACAGGACAGCCTGGGCACGGGCTCTGGGCTGCTGCAGTGCAGGGGGGAGGGGCATGCACAGACACAGAGAAGCAGCTGCAGCCTGCACACAGCCAGGAATGTAGCCCGGCAGTGTGTAGAGCATCACTCAGCAGGTAAGTCTGTGGGGGAGAAGGGGCATGGAGAAGGGAAGGGGCAGGCGAGCAGACTGAGGCCCCCACAGTGAGGAAGGGAGTGGGGCAGGGCCTGGGGTGAATAGGGCCCCAGGGCTGGGGTGAGTCATAGAATGGAGGGGCACATGCCCCCCCCCAGATTTGTATATGGGGTGGAGGTGGGCTGCAGGCTGGGGCTGGGGCTGGGGCTCTCTGCTGCCTTTGCCCCCAGAGCTACACACTGGCTGCGCCACGTGTAACCTACCCACCCAGCATCAGGAGACAGCATGGCATTATGTGGCTCCCAGGGCAATGGAGGCAGAATGCAGAGCCCCAAGCCTACAACTCGCAGCCTGTCTCTGCCCTGCTCACCGATCTGGGGGGCACATGCCCCCCTGTGCCTCCCCACTCCCTCCCTCACTGTGGGGGCCTCGATCTCCGCCCCATTACCCCTTCCCCTCCACAGACCTACCTGCTGGGTGGTGCGTGTGTGTGTTTCTGCCCCTCACTCCCAAGCCACAGCCCCCACCAACCCTGTTGCCCTTCATTCTTGAACCCACAATACCCCGCATCCTACCAGGGCATGGTGTTATCATATTTTTGCCAGTTAAGTATTTCAGTATACTGTCAAGGTTGGGTTTTTTGAATGGAGACTGTTAAAATGAAGCTGGGTATTAGAAAAGCTATAAAGGAAAGTCTGAGTGTGGCATGTATTTTTAAAAAAGGAAGCATATTAATCAGTTATCTCCTCTTTTCTTCAAAACTGACTTGTTAAAGATTCCTATTAAAACTAACACAACCAAAATTAAGTAGTGTGCATATTCAAATGACCTACACAACAAAAAGTATGACATCTCTCTAGGAAAGGGCAACTAAAAGGAAAAAAGGAAAGTATACTTTATTTACTTTTTAATTTTGTCATTCTACACATCTTTGACCCAAAGATTATAGAGATAAAACTGTCAAATGTTCAAAGCTATTTTTAAGGCTATCAGTTTTAATGATAAAGAGTATACTTCAAAAACAGACAATGTACATCAAGAGCAGTAGACCACAACTATTCACTTTAACGTAACTCAAAGGAACAACGTTTTAAGGTTTTTATCTTTAAAACATGACCTATATTAAGGGTCATGTCATCTAGAATTCAATTACATATTTTGTAAACAAACTACAAAATGTTGATATGCAATTTACTTGACAGTGGGTGTGTCTACATGACATGCTAACTGTGCAGTATACTAATTCTACTGCGCAGTAGCATCTAGGGCAAAAACCATGCTAATACGCTACTGTGCGGTAGTATTAGGATATTGCGCAGTTAGCGTCACTAAAAAGCCGTGCGCCAGCACTACTGCACATTGATTTAGTACTTGGTTATACAATTACTAAACTTAATGTGCTGTAACTACAGTGCATTAATGAACATGTAGATGCACCCAGTAAGACTGGCAATTGCCGCACTAAAAGGGAGAAAGGCATACATGAACAAGTACACTGGTGGCTGCAGAAGCAAAAATTGTATCTTAGCGTACTATTATTGGATATTCAGCACTTTTGATAAGGAACTTTTCCTTGTGGAGAGTTCAGTACAAGAACTGTTAAACCAAAAAACTAAAGCGTTTGTTTCACTTTACTCATCGCTGTTATAATGAGCTTGGTTTAGGATAAACTAAGTTACCAAAGGACATAAAAACCGTGCCTTTCAATAAATAGTAGAAACTGATGTGTGTCTTCTCTCTCAATTAGACAAGCTCATATATCTTATACCAAGAGAGAGTTAACTGCGTGAGTCTGAAATCAGGCAGAAGGCAAGGTAGAGATGTACCTTTGTCAACTAACTGAATCAGAGTTGTGTAAGCTTAACAAGCAAAAGCATAACATCTTACACTATTATCCTTGCCAGAAGATTTACTTTATTGGATTCTCAGAAAGCCTTATTTTTGAGAAATGGATAAAAAAGTTTATGAATCAGCCATACACTACCGCAGAAATAGTAAACTCAGCCTAGAAAATATTTTATGTGGAAAAATACTTTACATGAACAAGTTACTACTGTGCTACACTGTAACAGAAATGCCATTCATTCCCTCAAATGTGTGGTCACTGTATCCACCAAGAAGCATGCTTATCAGGATTGTATTAATGTAGCTACTAAGCAGCTATAGGTCAGAGTCATTAGGCAGACAAGATTTCATTCGGTTTCAGAAGAGAGGAGAGGTTTTGTTTGTTTAAGGTCAAAGACAAAAGTAAAAGACAAAACCTATAGCATAATGTCACCTCGTACACCTCCTGCCAAATCCATGTTTACTCCCAAAAGTGTATTTTCCAGCATTAACTCATGTAGAATTTTTTCACTGCTTAAAATTTTACATCCATCTAGTTAATGGACTTACTCTGAGAAACAGAAGAAGCCAAGACATTCTGTTTCTTCGAACCTAAACTGTCATCACTTAATAGAAACAACCTCCCTATTTTGCACAACTGCTGGTACTTTATGTTGCTCAAGATTTTACCTCCACGCAGGTAAAATATTTACTGATGTGTATTACCCCTAAGTCATGATAATTTTTAAGATACAAAATTTATCTAAAACTTCCTAGCAAGTTCAGAACACTTGTCAATACCCTCAGGTTGCATCTGACACATTCTAATGACGCAACAAAATCCTCTTTTTTATCTACTTCAAATTGTCAATTGTCTTTGTCCAAGTTAAAAAACATTTACATAAATAAATGTTATATATAAAATATATTTTATATATTTATTTATGTAAATGTTTTTTAACTTGGACAAAGACAATTTGAAGTAGGTAAAATTAGAACACCTCACCACAGCATGCACATGTTAGTTGAAAAGTGTAAATTAGAACAGTCATTACTAACACAGGATAAAAGATCCTTACTTCTATATGAAGGGGTATGGCATATATACCCTTCCCAAAGTAAATTCCATGTGGATATAACAATGCTTCAAGCAAAGACTTTTCTAATCAACTAACATATCATTTCTAATGCCCACACTTCCCAAGTAACATGCATTGTATAGGTCAAACTCATTTGAAAAAAACCTATAATGAGGAAATTACTTAACAACAAATTGGAGCTCCTTCAGATGTGCTAAACTGAAATGAAGTCCTAAAGTCTTTGAGTAGCTTCCATTGAGCATTTGACTGACTGGATTCAATTTAAGGCAATCAAAAGGCTAGCTCAGCAAAGGAAGCACCTATTCACATTGGGTACCTATACATGTGATGAAGCTCTGATGGAGTGCACTAATTAGCATGCATCAGAGCGAGTCTGCTGGAATGTCCTAATTAGTGCACTCCATGTCACGTTTTCAACATCCCCGTTTTTCAAAATGACCACAGGGGATTTAACTAAAGCTCAATCAATGCGCCCCTGCAGCCATTTTGAAACGCAGGATGCTGAATACACACAATGTTGTGGGAGGTTTAATTAAGAGTCAGTCTAATTAAAGCACTCCTCCTCACCCCACACCTCTGAGCATGTGTATAGACGCCCTTTATTTCAAGACAAATTCCCTCTACCAGGTCCTAGATCTGCAAAGCAACAGCATGAAAAGAGCCCAATGTGCCTGAAAAAGCAGCACACACGAACTGTAAACAAATTATTTCTTTTTTTTAATTTTGGACAAGATGGGGTGAAAAGAAAATAAACAACATAGATTTTAGAGCAAAATAAATTAAATAAAATACACAGAAACAATTATAGGGAAAGGAGTGGAGTGAATGACATTTTCAACTTAACCCATTCCTCTTGTATGAAATTACTTTTTCATTAGACTTTATTATTTCCTCAATTCCATTGTCAAGCAAAATTGGTCAGGAAGCAGCTTTAGCAACGAGATCAAAAGACAAGTAATTACTAACCTTTCTACGTTGACTGGCTTGTCAAATTTAAATAGAATATAATCCCCAGCAACAGGAGTAACAGCCCAGAAAAAATCCTCCCCCATGTAGGTTTTTTCCAGTGTATGTCCTTGGTAGACTTTTAAAGATGTAGAAACCTCTGCAGGTGGGTTCACATGAATTTTATGTAGTAACGGTTTCAGGAAATCTTTATCCTAATTGAAAGACAGACAAATATAAAATTAAGCTAGTCAGCCAATCTGTTTTATTATTCTCTTTTCCTTAGTGGCTAGTTTTTCTAGTACTTAAAAGAAAATGGAAAATGAAGGATAGCAAATGTATGACCCATTTCCTCTACTGAAAATATTAGATCTCATATTGATGAATAAGGCTATGTTATTACAGACAAAATGTTAGAGATTAAAAATGAAAAACTATGCAGTTGGTGCATAAGAAATGAGTTGAAGGAATTTATTATTTAACTGGAATTAATCAAGTTTGATTCTAAATACAGTACATTATACTTGAAATGCTAGAATATAATAAAATGTTTGTTTTCTCAAATACTGACAAATTATCAACCCTATTTGCTCTAAAAGGAAAGGGACGTTTTAGTTACTAACTGTGAGTTTCTGGATCTTTCCTGCTAGTGAGGAGTGAAGGCCAACATGTTGGAAAAGAGAAGGCCTGAAGCGTATTCGTAGATTAGATTTTTGTCGATCACAATGTTTCTGAAAAAGAAAATCAAATAAACTTCCTATTAGCAAACACGATACACACAAAGATCAATGAGTTTGTACTTGAAACTGTCTGATAATCTATGCTTCATGAATCAAAAACAAATTACAAGAAGCTGGAGCTATTTACTGCATTCTTGATGCAATTTTATTGACAGCCAATAGCACCTTTTTATTCATCCAGGGTTAAAGTCACTCCATTCCTCCTGCTGCAGAAAAGGCCAAGTACACAGGCTTTGTGCAAACAAATTATATGAGAAAAAATGAGGAGACAGAATTTATCTACCAATCTGCAGGCAGGATTCATGGCAGCCTATAGTCCCCTTTTAAAACTACAACATCTATCAACTGGGCAACCTCTACACATTCTAAATATATGACTAGTCTGCTTAATCTTAGGTACGCTATCATCTTCCCTCCACTTCCTATCCTTTAACAAGGCTAGTGGGACTTCTTTGTTGGTCTATCCTATTTATTTGGTGTTAATACCCGACATAAAACGGCTGAGTAAATTAAGTTCACTTGTTGTGTATTATGCACTCTGTAACTCCATAAGGATAAGGAAACTGGAATTAATGGTGCCTGCAGGAAAACACAGGAACTCCAAATTTGGGAAAAATTTAGGCTGAGATTAATGTTGCTTTATTATTTCTACTACCAACAAAGGCAATCTTCAAGAACTGGACATGACTAGGCTATATTCTGATTATTTGTATTCTGTTCAGCGATAGGAAGGAACCACCTAACCACATGCCTCAAGCTACAAACAGATGTTGCATTTGTCCCGGAACTAGCTGTGCCCTTCAAGTGGGGGTTTGGCAAAGGGCTGTCTGATGCAACTGTTTAGATGCATTTTGCAATCTAACAGCCAAACTGTTAGCATTTCTAGGGTTTTCCTGGACATGTCCTCTTTTTCCGTCCTCCCATCTCAGTCCGGGTGGTATTTTAATGTATCAACAAATGCTCAGGATTTTGCTCTGCTCAGGACTGACATATTTCCTGGCACTTCCTAGCTTGCCCTAGCAAGGAGCTGCTTGGGCCTGGGGGGAGGGAGATTGGAGGCAGGAGGCTTCATGTGCGCTGGCATGCGCACACATGTATGTGGCCGGCATGCAGTCAGGCAGGGTGGTAGGAGCAGCCCTGGCAGCTGAATGCAGGTAAGTCTATTGGGGGGCAGGGGTTGGAGGGCAAGGGTTTGGGGACTGTTCAGGAGGCTGTGTATGTGTGTGTGTAGTGGGGATGGGCGCCTGCTGGTGCTGGGAGAAACTGTCCAGGCACTGAGACTGCAGCACAGCGGGGTGGGGGAGGCGCCTGCCCCTTCAGCAGTGGAAGGGGGCAGGGGGTCCCTTTAAGGGCAGCAGGAAGCTGCATGGCTGGGCCAGTGGAACTGGGACCAGTGCCTCTGCTCACAGGGGCAGGGCAGCCGGGAGATGTTGCAGGGCTGGGGGCAGCAGGGGGCTGCAGGTCAAGAGGAGCACTGGCAGGGCTGGGGGGGCAGGGTACTGTGGCTTAGGAGTGAGGGGCACCAGGAGGGGTAGGGGACTGTGGGTTGGGAGTGCAAGGCACAGGCAGTGCCAGGGGCCTGCGGGTCAGGAGTGAGGGGTATCCGTAGGGATAGGGGGGTTGTGAGTTGGGAGTGAGGGGCACCAGCATGGTCTGGGGGGTGAGGTACCGTGAGTCAGGAGTGAGGGGCAGCAGCAGGGCTGGGGGGGCTCTGGCTTGGGAGTGAGGGGCACGGCCAGGGCAAAGGCATCAGTATATCACTGCCCTCCCAATCTTATTACTCCCCCTCTCCCCCAACAGGTGTCCTCTTTTTTTGAAACTGAAAAATATGGTAACCCTAAGCATTTCTTATCCTCTGAACCTTTTTAGGGTTTGTCCCAAGACAACAAACACAGCCATCTGAATAACTGCACTCTGTCTCAGGACAAAATGGTTTCTTGTAGGAAACATGGTGCTTGTAGCCTCAGACTCCCCACTGGCACTAATCTCTCTATATGCCAACAGTGCCATGGAAACAAAATCTTTCCATTCTGTCTCCACAGCTGCAACAGAACTGCAATACTTTGACCACACTGGGCCCTTTGCAGGTGGATAAACACACCAGGCATATCTACCTTTTGGCAGCAGAATGCACTTCCCAAGTTGTCTGTGAGCATGCCTTTCCCATCCTCTCCTGCTAATACACTCCAACCACGGAAATACGTAAGATACTCTGGGTGTCCCTCTGCAGTTGGTCTTAAGATCCTGGTCCTCAGTGTGCTCCAGAATGGCCACGGAAGATGACCATGGAACAGTCTCACCAGTGCATTGCCAGTTTTGGAGTGTGCATGTGGTTGGGGTGTGCTCAGGGCCACCCTGGCTGGAGCATGATGGCACTCCTGGTAGATGAGGAATTTGACCTCACTGGGCTGACGGAGACCTGGCGGGATGATATGTATGATTGGGCAGTGGATATTGAGGGCTATAGGAGGGATCGGGTTGGGAAGAAGGAAGGAGGTGTGGCCTTCTATGTGAAAGAGCAGTACCCCTCCCTGTAGGTCACATTAGATAGCAGAAAGAGGTCCCTTGAGACCCCTGGGTAAAGATACAAGGGGGTTCAGGAAAGGGAGACCTGATGGTGGGAGTCTACTATAGGCCTCCCTCCCAAGAAGAGGAAAGTGATCAGGCATTCTCCAGGCAACTGACTGAGGCAGCCAACACTAAAGACTTGATTGTCATGGGTGACTTCAACTACCCTGACATCTGTTGGGAGAACCAACAGCTCCAGCAGGTCAGCCAACTTCTTGGCAGCTATCAATGACCCGTTCCAGACACAGGTTGTGGAAGTGCCAACTAGTGGTAAAGCCACTCTGGATCTAGTGTTGGCCAAAAGGGAGGACATGGTAGGTGACCTGAGGATTGGAGGTCTGCTGGGTGACAGTGATCACAATCTGATTAAGTTCATCATCCACCAGAAGGCTGGGAATTCAGTTAGTAGAACAGAAGTCCTACACTTCAGAAGGGCAGACTTTGGTAAGCTCAGAAATCTAATTAGAGATGTTCTCTGCGACTGGATGATTTATGAGTTCATAAATGGTGGTGCTTCCTCAAGGGGGCAATTCTCAGTCCTCAAAAAGAGGCCATTCCCACGTGGCCAAAAAGCAGGAAAGGAAGCCAAGAGACCTGCTTGGCTCAGCAGGGTCATTAGGGAACTATTGAAAAAGAAAAAAGAAGCACATAAGCAATGGAAAAATGGTTCAGCAACTAGAGAGGGGTACACTTACATAGCCAGAGTCTGCAGGTATGAGTCACGGAAAGCCAAGGCTGGCATGGAGATCAAGCTGGCAATCAAAGTAAAGGACAACAAAAAGTCCTTCTATAGGTACATAGGGAGCAAGAAAAATAAAATCGAGCTACACTGTGGGACCCCCTACTGAATACGGAGGGGGAGCCCACAGTTGATCCCCACAAAAAGGCAGATCTTCTGAGTACATACTTCACATTGGTATTCCTGAAATCAGATGGGAGCTGTTCACCTGTCCAGAGGCGCAGGGAATACGGGGAAGACAACAGTTCACATGAAACCAGTCATGAACAGGTGACGGTACTCTTAGAATATTTGGACATTTTCAAGTCTGCTGGGCCACATGACCTGCATACAAGAGTCCTGAAAGAACTGGCTGAGCTCATATCAGGGCCACTGGCAAAGCTGTTCAAAGAGTTGTCAGGAACTCAGGAGTGGTCCTGAATGACTGGAAGAGGGCCAATGTGGTTCCAATCTTTAAGAAAGAGAAGAGGGATGAACCTGCAAACTATAGACCGGTCAGTCTGACTTCAGTTTTGGGAAAAAATTTTGAAATAAATTGTCAAGCAGGCCATCAATCACAAGCTCTTAACTAATGGGGTATTAAGAAGCAATCAGCATGGCTTTGTCAAGGGTAGATCATGCCTGACAAATCTGGTGTCCTTTTATGACCAGGTAACTAACCAGCTCACCCAGATATCATTTACTTAAACTTCAATAAAGCCTTTGATTCTGTTTCCCGTGACAGTGTCTCAATCAAACTGGAGGGTACTGGCCTAGACTAGTCTACAGTGACATGGGTGGACAATTGGCTTTGAGGTCAATCCCAGAGAGTTGTAACTGATGGCATGGCCTCATCCTGGAGGGCTGTCTCCAGTGGTGTCTCCCAGGAATCAGTGCTTGGACCTGTCCTCTTTAACATATTTATCAATGACTTGCATGAGGGGTTGGAAAGCTCAATGATTAAGTTTGTGGATGACACCAAGCTATGGGGAAATGCGGGCAACATCAGAGGATAGGGTAAGGATTCAGGATGACCTTGACAGACTAGTTCTATGGGCTGAATGGAATCAGATGAGGTTCAACAGGGGAAAGTGCTGGGTTTTTCATCTGGATAGGAAGAACGTTCCCCATAAATACACAATGGGTGGTAGTCCACTTACTGGCATCTGAATGGGACCTGGGGGTCACAGTCGACCAGATAATAAGCATAAGCCAACAGTGTGATGAAGTTACCAGCAGGGCAAACAGAACTCTGGTGTGCATCAGCTGATGTATTGCCAATAATTCCAAGATGATTCTCCCTCTCTATTCAGCATTGGTGAGGCCACAACTGGAGTACTATGTCCAGTTCCGGGCACCGCACTTCAAGAAGGATGTGGATAAGTTCGAGAGGGTACAGAGAAGGGCCACCCATATGATTCGGAACCTGGAAGACAGGCTCTACGAGGAGAGACTCCACAAACTGGTCCTGTTAAGTCTGAGTAAGAGAAGACTGAGGTGACTTAATAGCTGCCTACAAATACGTCAAGCATGAGCACCAAGATCTAGAGGACCAACTCTTAAGGAAGGCACCCCTTGGGAGGACGAGGACCAATGGGCACAAGCTAATTGAGGGAAAATTTAGGCTGGACATAAGGAAAAACTTCTTTTCCATAAGGGTAACTAGAATCTGGCACACACTCCCAGCAGATGTGATGCAGTCGCCATCCTCGGAGGTGTTCAAGAGGAGGCTGGATAAGCACCATGTTGAGCTCATTTGAGCCCAATAACCTGCCTAAGGTGGGAGACCAAATTTTATGATCTTGCTGGTCCCTTCCAGTCCTTTGATTCTATGCTGCCAATGGAGCATAGACATGTACATAGGGTTTTTAGGGGAAAAATATCTCAACCAAGAAAAGCACAGTATGCATAAAATTAACCAGGAAACAATTCTGTAGGCAAACACACATGGCCCCCCGGGACATAAAGCTTTGCTATCATAATAAATAAGAGTTCTTTTGAGGCCTACCAAACTAGGAAAGCAGCAATAATTACTAAATGCCTCTCAAGCAACTGTTACGAAGAATCCATAGCCTTGAACTGCAAAATTTTGATTATGTTTAGAGAGCTACTGTATGTCATTAGGGAGTGAAAAAGGATTTTTCAGTGTTTTGAGAACTGCAGTGTGCTGCAATTCTAGCATGTTTTCAAGCAGTTTACCAATCTTCATAAATAATTTTGTATAATTTTTCAGGGAATTCCTCAGAGTTTCAGGCCACCCTCTAGGTCTCACATTTTTATCAGAACCAGTCAATGCTGCTTCTTCCATTCACAAAGGGATTTCTATTGGGCAACAGGTACTCCCTGTAGTGTTCCTGCTACACTGCTGCCTAGGGAACTTACTGTTATGAAGATCAAGAAACCAGAGGGAAATTTGAACTCTTTTAAAGTCACCAGCAAAATACAGGGCAGAAGACTTTCACTAAAATACTCAGTGCTATTCACTGAGTTACTGGGCTACAGCTTTACATAATGGGCTACAGTATTTTTCCTGCAGTGTTAAACATAGCTTATATAACTGTTAGGGTGCAGACAGAAGTGACAGTTTTTGCCTGATCTGGCCACAGAAAGCAGTCTATAGCTGTGACCAAACACAAGTGCACTGCTGAAAGCAGCTTCAAAAATGGCCTATTGGGTGAAAATCTGGCCCCAATTGCATGAGGTATCAGATAAAGATGTTACAAAATGTAGCATCTTTGGTAACTTGTGTCTGCAGAGCTCCCAGCCTATGGCTCTTTTCAGAGTGGGAGGGGGGGGGAAGGGAGCAGAGGGAGTTCAGTCTTTGGGTTTTCAGCCCCTCCCCCAAGGGTGGGGCAGGTATATTACACTCCCCTGAGGTGGGGGGGGGCTCCAACTAACCCACCCCACCCTTCAGCACCAGCTGGGGACCCCCAAGAACCAGCTCCCTCTGCTGTCTTTTCCCCCTCCCATTCTGAAAACAGAGAGCACTGACAGAGAGCACTGGCCTTACTGTGGGAACCTGGCTGCAGGCTCCCAGCCCCCAGCTAGATTCCCATCTCCCCTGGAACCAACAGTGAACTTCTGTTTGGTCTGCTGGAACTCAGTATACTTTGCAAAAAATGTTCTGAGTTACAGCTTAGAGTTCCTGGTACAACAAAGACTTTGACTTCTCTTCTCTCCAAGCAATGCATTTAACAAACCTTCCAAATCTAAAATAGTAGAAAAATCTAAGAAAAATGTTTCTTTATAAACTAACACCTCCAATTTTTTCTCACAGATTAAAATCTAACAAGAAAGTAAGACTTGTAACTGGATATACAGAAACCATGAAAAAATCATTCACTACATTTTGGACTCAGAAAACATATAAAGAATAAACCTTAGAAGCTCAAGAACAAGAAGTAAACTTACTGCATCTTTTTCAGGGTTGCAGACTTTCACCCAGAGGATATGATCTAACAGCCAATCAATAGGTTTCTCCTTATAAAACATAAATATAAACTCCACAATAAGCGTGATATCTGGAGACTGGAACATTTTACCTGTAAATATATTATTCTAAATTCAGTAACAGTTATTCAGAAACAAAGACTGTTTGTCTACTGATGTTAATAAGCATGTAGATTATATTGTTTGCCATCAAAATTAAACAAACAGGAAGAAAAAATCACAAAACAGTTTCTACAGCATCATAGCTCCCAGCAAGTTTAAAGCAGTTCACTAGAAACAGAACTTTTCATCAACGCTACAGAAGAGAAAGAAAAAGTACTTCCTTTCTAGGAACTACAATTTTTCAAGATGTGTTGTCCCTGTGTATATTCTATTGTAGATTGTGAATGTGCCCCATGCACCCAAGACCAAGGAATTTTTTGGAGTCATGCCCACTTGGTTATGCTGCTTACACTCATATGGAAGGTATAAAGGGGAGTGTAAGACCAGATGCCACTCCTGTTCCTCTCCTATTGAAGACTATATAGTATAAAGTATGGAGGAATTTGAAATAAAGGGCAGGAAGTGAAGCAAACACAGGGACAGCACATCTCAAAGAACTCCAATTACTATAAAGGTAAGGACATTTTATTTCTCCAAATGCTTGTTCCTGTGTGCATTTCACCATAACTGAACATCAAACAGTATATAAACCAGGGAGGTGAATGCTTGGGGTCCTGTTGTGGTAGGGAGAGAAGAGCTACCCTACAAAAAGAATAATCTGCAGCAGCTGCCAGAACTAACGTGCAAAGTTTTATTAAGGTATGCATGGAACCCCACATTGTTATCTTCCATAGATTAACATTTTAAAAGGAGCTACTGATGTTGCATGGGTCCTGGCTGCGTGTGCTTTAGCATCGGTGTCTTAGATAATTCAAAGCAAATTAGTTCATATTTGGAGATCCAATGTAATAATCCTTGGGTAAAAATTTCACTCATTCTCTCAGCAAAAGAAACAAATAGTTTCAGAAATCATGCAAAGGGTTTTGTCGTCTCCAGGAAAAATGCTACAGCTTCCAAGAAGTATACTTTCATTTTTCATGATTTGCGTACGATTGGGAAAGAACACAGCTGAGCAAGTTGCTCCATTAATTTGAAATTCTGAAACTTTTTGGGGTGTGGTCTCAATGAGACTAACATGATGAAACAATACATGGGACAGGTCAGACGGAAGAGCTTCTATCATCCTGGCTGCTGTTATGCTTAGAAGGCAAGCCACTTTTACAGAGTTATGGAGGAATGGACGTGAGGCAAAAAGGTTTCAACTGGGGAGGCTCATTAGAGTTATCAACACTAAACTGAGATTCCCTGATGATGTCGGTTTCAATAATGCTGGGAAAACTGTCCCATTCCTTTCGGAAATCCCACTGTTACTGGGAGCAAGCATACAGTCCAATTACCTCCTTGAAGGATGGAAGGCTGCCAAGTACACTCAAAGGGAAATATGGGAGAGTTGTGAAATTTTCAATAAAAGGCCAGTATATTTGGTAAGCCTCACTGTAGTGGACATGCATAAAGCTGATCACACTGTGCCTAAACTCTTTTGTTTCATCACATAAGGTTTCTTCATATCTGTATATGTTTTTCTAGCTTAATTTCTGCTATACAAAGGATTGATTGAATTTCAATTGAATGCAATCTTTCTAATGTGCATTGCTCAGTGGGTTTTTAACAACTTTTAAGGACTGAAACCATCTAGACAAGTGATTCTTAACCTGGGATGCCATGAGATCCTTCTAAGGGTATCCCAGGGTGCCATGCCAAACATTGGTACTGTTTGGTATGCAAATACCTACACATGACTTATAAAAGAAAATATTTTTTATTTTATATATATATATGTAAAAATTTTTAAAAGGGCTTAGTCCATACGTCTCTGTCTGTCCATAACGCTCTTGGAGCACTCTGATTGGTTGTCTCAGCAGCCAATTACAATGCTTACTGAAACAACCGGAGTGCTCCGTGGTGAATGGTGGGGATGGTGTGGGACGGCGGAGCACCGCCATGATGGAAGGGATGGAGTGGTGGGTCCAAGGCCACTGTTGCAGGCCTTGGACCCCCCGCTCCTTGGAGGAGGCAGCGGCACAGGGTGCTAGGGAGGGGGATGGCAGGGCAAGCTTGCTACCCCTGCTCCTGGGAGGCAGTGGCGCAGGGCAGTGTGTGGCAGCAGCTGATGCATGCAAGCTT